GTGGGAAGATGAGGCCTCTTTGCTGGGCACTGGGCAGGAAAGGAAGGGCAATGAGAAGGGGGCAGGGCTTGGCGGACAGCACCCAGTGAACATAACTGCAGGTCACGTGGCCAGCCGGCAGCAGCTCGGTCCCAGGGTACCCTGGGGAGATGTACATTGCCCAGGCTCCACCTCCAGCAGGCAGTCTCCCTGTGCCCGTTCCACCAGGGCTGAAGCAGGAACCACAGGTCAGACAGCTCGCTCTGTGGGACAGGGTGGGTCAGATGCCGGAGTAAACACAGGCTTGTCTCTGGTGGTTCCTCCCTGCAGAGCCAGCCTCCATCAGCTTCCTGCCGTGAGGGGCTGGTGCAGCCTCGCGCACGATGCAGCTGGAGATGGAAGGAGCAGATGGCCTTGTTGGCCCAGATTCCTGCCAGATTGCCAGGGAGGTGTGGGTGGAGTGGCAGCCTGTGCCAGGAGCAGGATGCCCAAGTGAGGAGGCCAGGAGCCACCTCTTCGCCAGCTAGATGGGGTTCTGCCTATGGTGGGGTACAGGTGCACTGACCGTGGCCTCACCGTGGGCCTTGAAGCAGCATGTGTCTCAGCTCCCAGAGAGACCACCTTGGTGTTTCAGGGCCAGCTGGAGAGCTCTTGAGAGCTGCAGGGCAGCAGTTGTGGTAGCCTCATGCCCAGCACCTAGGCCAGGGTGGGTCAGGCAGAGATTAGGGATATTTATTTTTAGTTTCTTAATTAATGGTGATAGTAGCTCTTGGAAATTGTCTTACTTAATCCTCACAGTGAAGGAGACACTGTTGTGATCCCTCTTTACAGACGAGGACACAGGACGTAGAGAGGAGGAATAACTTGTCTAGAGACACAGCTAAACCGATGCCTGAGAACAGATGGGCCCCTCTGATAAACTGACAGCCACACCTTGGGAGTTGGGAGCTGGGGCTTTGGGGACAGGGAGCAGATCTAACTAAGAAGAGGCAACCAGGAGAAGTCGTGGGCACTCCTGGCTGGAGAAGAGAGCATGACCCACTTGTCTTTGTGCTCCCTGTGCCTCGGCCAAGCCTTAGATCCCAGGCCAGCTTCCTCCGTTGTTCAGGGTGCTCAGAGAGCAAGAGATGAGCTTGGCAAGGTAGGGAGAGAGGACTGCGGTATGGCTGATCAGGCCTTACACTGCACAATTCCACAGTATGTCATTCACATAGACAATGAGGAGAGCAGTGCCCGTTGGAATTGTACCAGGTGGTAGCCCTGTAAGGCAGGATCGTATCATACAGGACTCTGAAGACCAAGGGACTGCAAAGCTTTCTGTAAAGGGCCAGAGAGTAAATATTCCAGGCTGTGCAAGCCGTACAGCCTGCGTTGTAACTCAGCCCCGCTGTCGTAGGGTGAAAGCAGTTGTAGGCGATATGTAAATGAATGTGACTGTGTCCCAGGAAAACTTTATTTATAGAAATAGGCTGCCTGATAGATTTGGCCCACGGGCCAGTTTGCCAGTCCCAGTGAAGTCCACAGAAGAATTCTGAGCCCCATTCTGAGAACAACGTGGAACCATGAGAGGGTTTTTAGCAAAAGTGAGGAGAGGCTGATTGACATTTTGGCCCTGACAGAACAGTGTCCCCCTATACCTTACCAGACCGCAGGGTTTCTTCTGTCCTGTTTGTGGATCCTGGAGCCCTTCTCCCTGCAGGAAGAGGTTTGGGGACCAGGCATGGTGGCACACACCTGTAATCCCAGCCCTAGGGAGGCTGAGGCAGGAGGATTGCTGCAAATTTGACGCCAGCAGAGGCCACTGCCATGCATTCTTCCTTTCCCTCATCCCCATGCTACCTCCTAGCTCAAGTCTGGACCTCTAGCAGGGCTGCAGAAATGCTGGTTCCCATCCCTAGCCTCAGGGTCAGATGAAAGCAGTCCACTGGGCAGTAGCCCAGGCTTGCAAATCAGAAAATTGTGGCCCCAAATTCCAGCTCCTCCATTTGGCTGTGTGTGCCTTAAACTATACCCTCCAGACCCTCCATCTCCTCTTCTGCATTGACCTGGTTTGTAGGTGTTATGGTTTGGGTCTGGATGTCCCCCAAAGCCTCATGTGGTCATAGGCTGGTTTGGAGGTGGCTGAATCTAGAGTGAGTCATTGACTCATGGTGAATCCTAGGCCTGAGGGCACTAGGATTAAGGGTGTGAGCACTACCCACCCTCTGTACTCTGAATAAGATAAAAGGGTCAAAAGATGCTTTTAAAGTCTCTTGTTGCCTTTGCTACCTACTAGAGGCTATGAACTGTTTCTCTTCTGGGAGGCCTGGCTGCCACTCTGCCTTGGAGTCAGCCAATTATAGACTCAAACCTCTACAGACTGTAAGCCAAATAAACTCTTTCTCCTTTAACTTTGGGTGTTGAGTATTTTGTCTCAGCAACAAGTGAAAAATAACTAATACAATAGGAAAGGCACAGTAAGAAGACCATTGCTAGGAGAATCTTTTTCTTGCTGAACCCGAGGCAGGAAAGCTTCCTCATGTGCTGCATAGTAGGGTCTTTGCCCCAATGAGCTGGACTTACAGCCAGGCTCTGGCCTCCCAGCTGGAGCTGGGAAACGTAACTGCTGAGTTGGCCTTGGCTTATGAATATTAAGGGTTTCTTAGAGATAGGGGTGATTTGTCCTACTTCTTGTGCTGAAAATAACTGCCCGCCATCAGAGTAATTACATGGCTTTGGCTCTGTGTAGCAGAGATCACCCCAATAATTACTGTGCACGAATGCTACTTTTGGCAGCTGATGCTTATTTTCTTCCTCAGAGAGTCTTAACGGGAAGCCTTTCCACCACCCACCCTGTGCAACTTGCACCCTTGCTTCATGTGAGCAGAGCTGTTCTGGACAGGATCATAGCAGCTACATCCACTCCTTCAAAAGCCATCTGTTGAGCTCAGGCTACCCCCTAGCCCATGGACAGGCTGGGCCTGGTGACTGGTGGCTTTGGCATAATTCCACTCCAAAAGCCATCTGTTGAGCTCAGGCTACCCCCTAGCCCATGGACAGGCTGGGCCTGGTGACTGGTGGCTTTGGCATAAGCTCTTAACATAGCTCTGCATCTGGGAGCGGTTACCAGGTCACCCACACTCTGTAGGACAGACCTGTGGACACCACTGTATCCATGGACGGAGTCTTGTGGCACCAAAGGGGTGGTCGGTATTGCTCAGAGACGGACAGCCTGTGTCATTGACCTGAGCCAGGGGACTGCCAATTGGGCCAAAGTACTGGAAAAGTTCTTGTGGACTTACTATGTGCCAGGCTTTCGGGACAGAGTCATAATACCAGGTTACGGTCCTGCCTTCTTGTGGCTTAATGTCCAGTGGGCAAACAGACCCAAAGCTCATAATTATCCACATAGTTACATACTTACAATTGTGATAAGGCTGTAGATGACATGAATAGAAGCTATGCATCTATATAATGGGGATATGGGGGAATCTGAGCTGAGACCTAAAGATAAGGAGTGTGGCAAGTATGTGTGTGTGTGCGTGTGTGTATGTGTGTGCACGCACCTATGTTAGAGATGGGCACGTAGAGGATGGTGGTTGGATGGATGAGTGGATGACTGGATGGATGGATGAGAGGCTGGTGGGTGGGTGGGTGACTGCATGGATGGGCAGATGATCGAGTGTTCCGTGCAATAGCAATAGGGTATGCAAAAAGCTTAGAGGGCCACAGGAAGTGTGGTGACCGGCTGACAGAAAACTTGCAGAAAGTATTTGCAATTTGGAAGTGAGACTAGAGAGGCAGGCAGATAGGCTCGCTGTGTACAGTTGTGCCCAGGTCCAGGAGGTGCTAGTCTGGCAGAACTCAGGGTGGTTGCCACTTCAGGGATTGTGCAGATGGTGAACTGCAGGCAAGGATGATATTATGCAAGACCTTATGTGCCCTGATGAGGGGTTTTGTTTTGTTTTGTTTTTTTGCTACTGGGGATCAAACTTGGGTCCTTGTGCTTGCAAGGCAGGCGGCAGAATCACTGAGCTAAATCCCTGGCCCTTGATGAGGGTTTTGACCATTATTCCCCTGAGCAATGGGGAGTGAGGAAAGGGTATTAGTACTTTGTGATGGGGCTGATTATCACTTAATGCCCCATACCAGCACTGTCCAACAGAACCTTTTATGGAGATGAAATGTTCCATCTCTGCACTTTCCAGTATGGTACCAAGTCAGAGTGACTGAGAGACTTAAACTGGAGTGTTTATTAGCCATTTGTAGTCAGAGGTAGCTCATGGCTCCTATTGGAGAGTGCAGATCCATCCTCCCAAGGGCCTGTCTCTTACTAGACCAAGTCCTGTTGCTCCTGACCACCAGCAGCAATGTGTCTCCGGCTGCGTGGAGGCCTGAGCCTCCTCTTCACGTTGCAGCCCAGGATGCTGTTGGGGCTGGGGGCTGGGACCTGAGCTAAGACTGCTCCTGAAACCCTGTGGCATCCCCTACCCCTCATCAGTGTTGTTTCCCTGGCACTGTGGGGTTGCTGATTGAGTTTTGCCCAGCAGAATGGGTGGCCTTCTCCCTGTCTGTCCCTCCTGGTGGCTTCCCTCCCACAGAGGTATACGGCTGAGGAGCCTCCTGGGCATCTCGTTGAACCAAGGTGAAGAGACAGTGTTCAGCACGGGCACTTGGGGATGTGGATTTGGCTCTTGTGTCAGAAGGAGCCGGGGTGGCAGGGCTGAGAGGAGGCTGACAGGATAGGACGGACCCAGACCCAACTGCCTTCCATTTGTAGGGCCCAAGTCTCCAGCCCTTCTGCATCAGCACTGTGACCTGAGGGCACTACTCACACACATACAAGCCAGCTTCTAGACCCAAGTTCATCTGCTGGCCCCACAGGCAGCTGCCCCCTATTCACCCCTCTGGCCTAGAGGTACACTTGCCAATTCCCTACTCAGTCCACCCTTGGGACTCTGAATCCAGGGAGGAGTCTGGCCACTCATGCATGCATACCCTGTGTGCGATGGGAATCTCACTGCTGTCCCCTCCTGTTACAGTGCGCTACTTCCTGAAGAATAAGGTCAGCCCTGATTTGTGCAATGAGGATGGACTCACAGCTCTGCACCAGGTAAGCCAGTTTCACCCGAGGCTCCCAGTGCCCTGCTCTCCACCTGGTCAGGCGCCCCATTCTGCTGCACTTTCCTGCCCAGGACCCTCAGGGCAGATGGAGGGGGGACCCACAGGTGGCCCATCTGAAAGGCTCTTGTCTGCTTCAGGGACATGCGTGTCTGTCACACATGTCCACGGAGACCCCGTGTGCACACATATACACACGTGTGCAGAGACAGGCTCCGAGGACAGGGGCCTGTGTTAACTGTATCCCCACTGCCTAGCAAAGCAGGTCTGTTTGGAGCTTGACAGTTGACAAGTACATTCACACCACCAGGACATCCCAACAACCCTGGTGACAAAAGTGACTAATGCAAAGGCCACAGGTCCAAGAACTATGGTCATGAACCATACACTGTCACAACACATATCCTTCCTAGGACAGCTTGATGGTCCCACCCTCCCTCGCTAGGAACAGGCTGTTCTGGCTGTCACCTCTTGCATGGATGATTACTCCTTCTCTGCAGCTTCCTAAGTGTCCCCAGCATTCACTCTGGTCCTTTTAGCCACAGGGATGTTCAAACCTAAAACCTCAAGTTTGCACAAAGCTCTTGTGTCTTCTCACACAACTGGGGGAAAAGAATGAACTCCTGGCCACATCACACAAGACCTGTGAAGCCCGGCCTCTGCCCAGCCCTCTGCTTTCTGGCTCTCCGATGCAGGCCACCGGCTTTCCAGGTCCTTGGGCGCTAGACTCCTCCCCCCAGGCTGTGGACAGTGCTCGGTGTGCTCACCTACTAGTCCCATCCACTGCAAGAGCCTGAGAGCTGTGCTGTAACAGATGTGTCCTTTTTCTGAGCACCCTCCTCTCTAATGAAACCTTTTCCCCATTCTTGTGGCAACTTAATGTCCCCTCTTCCCTAACCAGACTCTGAGCCCCATGAGGACACAGCCTGTATCTGTGCTCATTGCTGTGTCCCAGCATCTGTCCCCCGTCTGGCATGCAGTGGGTGCTCAACACATGCATGCTGAACTCGAGATGAGCACTCCAAAGCTTTCCATGTCCTGGTCCAAGTTAAGGACTAGGTGGACTGGAGTACAGCCTGGTGGAGGAAGCTGGGTGGGAGGGATGGACAGAGACTGGCTGTGCTCTGCCTAAGCCCCAGGGCAAGGTGTTTCCCTCAGTCCCATAGCCCAGGGGCCCCCTCCTCATTCTCCTCATTCTCCAGGGCATAAAAACCCTGCAAGCAGCCAGATGTGCTGGTGCACACTCCTACTTCCAGTTATTCAGGAAGCTAAGGCAGGAGAATCACAAATTTGAGACAGCCCGCAATTTAACAAGACCCTGTCTCAAACTAAAACAAACAAACAAAATGTATATGTAAAGAAAGGTCTGGGATTGTAGCTCAGTGCTCTGTGGGTTCAATTCCCAGTGCTGCCAAACAAAACAAAACAAAACAAAACAAAAACCCACAAAAAAACAAAAACAACAATAACTACAACAACAACAAAAAAACCCAAATCGGCAAAACTCCGCAGACAACCCTGGACAATGGATAGATATTAGTAATTAATAAAAGTGAGTCCTGTGGCCACTGCTCTGCAGAAGCCGCTCCCTTATATATTGGTGTGGATTTGCTCTTCAAGAAAGCCTCTGAAAGGCCACTTTGTGACCCAGAACACTGAGGCTCCAGGACAGCCCTTCCCATAGGCCTTTCTGGGACAAGGGGAGCGTTCTGTGTCTGCACTAACCTGGACAGAAGCCACCGGCACTCGTGACTAATGGGGTGGAAGAGCTGGATTCTGGCTTAATTTTTGGCAAATTGAAATAAGTAGAGGGTGCCATGTTCGACAGGGCAGCTCTGGGTGGTGCAGACTCCTGTGCCAGCCGTCAGTTCAGCAGCAGCAGCAGCAGCAGAGCAGGGTGGAAGCCCGAGGTCTTGCCTACAGCTGCTGTCCCTGCCTCGGCGAACTCTACCTTGGCCCCTCCTTTGGCTTGTGGCTCCTGCTCCCCCTTGTCATGCCCTGGCTTCTTCTCTGCTGGTCGTGCGGCTTCATCAGGACTTCATCTGCTGTGGCTTCCAGCTTAACTCTTTGGGCTCTGAGTTTAGGTCCACGGATTTCTTACCAGGTGGATTTACCCTGCTCACCGTCTCCACACAGGAGGAACCCTGCCCAGGGCCTGCAGCCTCTGTTAATTCACTGAACAGTACTTACTGAGCACTGACTGCCAAGTTCTCAGCTGGGCACAGGGCCCCAGGCGTTCGTTAGGCAGTGTCCCTGCTCTCAGAGTTCATGGTGTGTTGTGACCACAGCGGTGTGAATAACAAAAAAGGCAAGGCAGTGTGGTCAGGGTTCACACAGAGGTAAGCAGAGAGCTCTATACAACTTGAAGTTGAGAGCTGATGAACAACCTCAGAGCAGAACTGAGAAACGCTTCCAAGAGGAAGGGCATCTGAGCTGGGTCTTGAAGGATGAGTAAGAGTTTGATAGAAAGGAAGAACATTCAAAGCAGAGGAAACAGCATTAAAGAGATATGAGGAGGGGCAACAGCCTTTCAAGCCTGGAATCTGGGGTATTGGTTGTGGCATCATCAGTATGTAAGGAGCCCCAGGGAGACAGCAGAGGTGAGACTAGGGAGACTGAGGACAGGGCCTCTGGAGTCGGACCTCCTTGTGGGTTTGAATCTCTAGATGGGTTTTCATCTTGGATTTAATCCATTTCTCACTGTGTGGCTCTGAGACAGTTTTCCCATCCATAAAGAAGGGATGAGAGATTCTCACAGGCTTGCTTTAAGGATTAAGTACAGCAGTGCAGTACGGCCAAAGCTTAGTGAGGTGCCCAGCTTGAGGGAGTCCTCAAAAGAAAGCTTTGGCTTTTCTTTGAGACAACATGATGTGTCCTGTTGTGATCACCATCATCTCTGGGCTTTTGTCATTGTTAGGGTCACCATCGCTCCAGGGAGCCAGGGGACTGGGGCATGTGGGCATGCTGTTCCAACTGGCCCAGGAGTGTGGATCAGCTCCTCTGCCTTCCCGGTCTGCACACTGAGAGCTGTGTGATTAAGGACTGAGGAAGTGCTCTCCGAGTGCTGGTGTGTGGAACGGAGTGAGAGGGAGGCAGGCAGAGAGGATGAAGCCTCACCTAGGGCAGTAGGGATGAGGGCAGGGATCTAGGAGATGGAGCCGCAGCAGGAAGAGTCAGCTGAAAGCCAGGTGCCGTTCCCTGCCTTGGCAGTGCAGGGCCTGCCCACCTCTCCAAGGGCGTCCTCACACCTGCCCCCGACCTTGCCGAGCTGTCCTGCTCAGACTCTGCAGTTCAGGATGCACAGCCCCACCCCTTTCAATCTGACCTTTCACTCCACCTCCCTGTTTCCCATCTCAGTTGGCAGCCAGTGGACCCTCTGGTTCTACTGCCCATCGCCTTCAGTGCCCTCTAGTGGCCATGTCACACAACAGCGTGGTTCTCCAGTCCCGGGATGCAGCACCTGGGGCCGTCACATCTCCTGGCTATCTAGCAGAGATACCTTCAGACCTGGCCCCCCGAAGACTGGCTGACTCAGAAAGAACACAGTTCTCTGGCACCATCTGTGCAAACGGCTGCTTCTTTCCCACATGTTCTTCTGGCGCTGAGCCCTGGCTCACTGGGCATAGAGTGTGGGCTGTGCTGCCTGCGTCCCACACATACGCCTACAGCTATGCCCTCTTGAAGCCATGGAATCGCACAGGTGCCTGCCCCTTCTGCTAGCCTCCAGTCTCTTCTCCCCATCCTTAACAATCTTCTCTGCAGCCCAGGCCACCGCCATCTCTTAACTGGATGACCTCACCTGTGGGCGTGTACACACACACAAACACACACACACACACACACACACACACACACACACACAGTCTGTTCTCCACATGGAACCAGCAGAGTGATTTTTAAAAACAAGTCTGAGTGTGCTACTTTTTTGAGGATAGCTCTCCAACGATTCCTATTGCTCTGAAGACCAAGCCTACTCCTGGGTGGTCAGGGCTGAGCCCAGGTCCCCTACTGGCTTCTACAGAAGTCACCTCTAGGCCAGATCCTGCACCCAGGAGTCTGTGAAGTGCCCCCGACTTCCTCCTCTGTTCTCACCTCTCACTCATGCCCCTGGTGGAGGCCCTAGTGTCCTCATAGTAATTTTTACTCCTGATCGCTGGAGTTTGGGGGCTCCTGGACCCCTGTGTTCTTTTTTGTGGGGGGGGCTTCAGGCCCCTGCACTTGTCCCCGTACTAGGGTTTACCCGCCTTTGGTCACTGCTCCATGCAGGTGGGAATACAAGTATGCTGTCTTCTAGCAGGGACAATATCAGGACCCCTCAGGACCTGCAGCTGGAGTCTTGTTTTTCAGGGGTCTTCTCCAAAATGTATATTCCTGGGTCAGAAGTTCCCAAGTCACAGGTTTCTTCTGGCTTCTCGTGGGGAACATGGGATGTCCCCATAATGGCTTGGGGCCCTGCCGGGCTCACTCTGCCTCTGTGTCCCTCCCAGTGTTGCATTGACAACTTTGAGGAAATCGTCAAGTTGCTTCTCTCCCATGGTGCGAATGTGAACGCCAAGGACAACGAGCTGTGGACACCCCTGCATGCTGCAGCCACCTGTGGCCATACCAACCTGGTGAAGACCCTCGTTCAGTAGTACGTGCCTGCTCCTCCCCAAGCACCGCCCCCATAGCTGCTGCCTCCGGCCTTCTCCAAGTCCGCCTCTCTTTCCTCTCTCCCTCCTGGCCTTCATTCCATTCTTCTCTCTCCTCTCTTTTTCTCTCTCTGTCACTCCATGTTTCTGTTCGTTCTTGTCACTCTCTCTTCAAAATCATTCCATATGCCTCTTTCTCTGTCTTGCAATCCTCTTACCTTAGCCTCCCAAGTAGCTAAGATGATAGACATGTGCCACCATACCCAGCCCAATGTTTTGCATTGTGGCAAAATGCATATAACATAAATTTTACAGTCTTAACTATGTTTAAATGTACAACTCAGTGGCATTAAGTATATTATCATTGTCATGCAGCCATTACCACCATCCATCTCAAGAACTCTCTTCATCTTGCAAAATGCAAACTCTGTACCCATTAAACAGCAGCTTCTCCCATTCTCTGCCCACACCCCATCTCTGGCAATCAGCTGCTGCTTTCTGTCTTTATGAATTTAGCCTCTCTAAGCACCTCTTGTAAGAGGATTCATATCGTGTTTGTATTATTGTGACTGGTTTATTTTACTTAGCATAATGTCCTCAAGGCTCATCCATGTATTAGGGTATGTGTCAGAATTTTCTCCCTTTTTAAGATTGATTAATATTCCATCATGTGGCTAGGCATGGTGGCACACACCTGTAATCCCAGCACTCGGGAGGCTGAGGCAGGAGGATCACTGTGAGTTTGAGACCAGCCTGGGCTACATAGTGAGTTCCAGAAATTCCATTTTGTGTTTGTATATGCACATGTGCTACGTTTGGCTTATCCATTTGTCTATTGATGGACACATGGGTTGCTTCCATATTTTAGTTGTTGTGAATTATGCTGCTATGAACATGGATTTACAACTTATCTCTTAGTGTCTCTGCTTTAAGTCTTTAAAGGTATAACCCAGAAGTACAGTTGCTGGATCATATGATACTTTTTTCTGAGGGTGAGGGAGCTGCTATACCGTTTTCCACAGTGGCTCTTCCATCTTCCATCCCTACCAACATTGCATAAGAGTTCCATTTTCCTCACATCCTCAGCAACATTTGTTATTTTCTGGGTGTTTTTGTTTGCTTGCTTGTAATCTATCTAGTAGGTTTTCTCTGCACTATTTATTGTAAAGATTGTCTTGAATTGCTCTGGCACCTCAGCAAAATTCATTTACTATCTACACAAGGGTTTATTTTGGGGTGGAAATTCTAGTGGTCTCTATGTCCCTTTGTGCCATTACAACATTCTTTTGACAAGGTAGCTTTGTAAGTTTTGAAATCAGGAAGTGTGAGTCCTCCAGCTGTATTCTTCTTTTTCAGCATTATTTTTAGCTGTTTATGATTCCTTGAGATCGCATATGAACTTCAGGATAAGTTTCTGTTCTACAAAAAAAAATATTTCAGACCTTGATAGGGATTGCATTAAATCTGTAGATTGCTTTGTGGAATATTGAAATCCTGACTGTATTTAATCTTCCAATCCATGAACATGGGATGTCTTCCCATGTGTTTCTGTCTTCTTTAATTTCTTTCAAAAAATTCTTGCAGAAATAGTTTACAGTTTTATTGTACAAGTTTTTCATTTCCCTGATTAAATTAGTTCCTAAATATTTGGAATATATAAAAATGTATATACATTTATATATATAAATGTGTATTTAGCAATACTGGAACTCAGGGCCTTTGCATTGAAATGTATTCCTTGCCTTTTTTATTTTGAGATAGGGTCTTGCTAAGTCATTCAGTTGCCTGAGCTAGGTTTCACCTTAGACTCAGTCCTCTTGCATTAGTTTTCCAGAGTGCCAGAATTACAAGTGTATGTCACCATGCTTGGCTCTAAGTATTTACTCTTTTTGATGGAATTGTTTTCTTAATTTGTTTTTTGGACTTTTCTCATTCTTAATGTATAGAAAAGCAACTGACTTTTTTTTCATATTTTTCTTGCTAGTTTGTTGAATTTAGTCATGAGTGTATTTTGGTTGTATTTGTGTGTGTGTGTGTGTGTGTGTGTTTGTGTAATCTTTAGGGTTTCCTACATATGAGTATATCATTTGTGGGCAGAGATCATTTTTCATCTTCCTTTCCAGTCTGGATGCCTTTTACTTTTTTTCTGATTCTGATTTGAATCTCCAACACTGTGTTGGCTAGGAGGTGACCAAAAAAAAAAAAAAAAAAAAACAAGG